TTTTAGGACTAAAGGAATTGTCCTAGTTTTCTTGATTTATTAATAAACTTGGGTTCTGAGCGAACCATATTTCTTGGAAAACACTTTGTAACACTGTTTAAAGGATTCTTAGTGAATCTCTTCTTGAATATTTCTTTATTATAAACTTTTTTTTTAATTCTTTCTTTGGGAATTGTTTTTTTAAAAGCAATTCCACTTGGACACACCAGTCAAATATAAATTTGTTCACACTATCATATTTGAGAAGCACTTAAAATACTTAAGTGAAGTTTTAAAAGATTTGAGCAAGTCAATCTCAAGCTCAACTTGAAAAATATTACTTTTATAAAAAAAAAACATGTATTATTGAAGTACTGTATATCATTAATTAATATGGAATTCAATCAGATACAGCCAAAGTAAAAAAGGTAAAAAAAACTTTATTATATCAATCAATATTATTAAATTAAGAAAATTTATTAAACTAGTATCTTATTATTATCACTTTATACTAAGTTTTGCCATTATAGTTAAATCAATGAATAAGCTCTTAAGAAAAATATACTGTATCTTTAAAATAAAAATATCAATTAATATTTGAAAAACTTAAGAAAAAATTAACTATTGAATCAATCTTGATCTACTCAGATTTTTTCAAGTCTTTTATCTTATATATTGATGTTTCTTATAAAAAACTAGAAGCTGTCTTAATTCAATTAAATAAATAAAGAAATAAACATATGATAGTCTATATAAGCTGAAGTCTTATAGAACTTGAACTTAATTACTCTACCACTGAAATTGAATATTTTACTATTATTTAGGCCATAAAATATTTCCATCCTTATATTTATCTTCAGGAATTTATCCTTATTACTGATTACTTATTTTTTCAATAGATGATTAATAACTTTATTCCAAATAAAAGAACAATATAATAGATATTTACTATTATAATTATCTCTTAAAAATTTAATATTATAAAGGTAGAAAGCATCAAAATACTAATATATTATCAAGACTCTCTTCAACTTCAATATCTTAATTATAAATTTGAAAACCTATTATCAATTATATATATTTTTCTACAGGAAAATCAAAGTGATATATTATTTTATTTAATATTATATACTATCTTGATACAATACTAAAAGTTCAATAAAACTATTCAAAGTTATTACAGCAACTAAATTAGAATCGCTTTTATACAATCTTTATAAAAATATTCTTACTAAATATTTTGAAATTGAAGCTTATTATAATTGAATAAGAAGTTAATATTATTGATTTAATCAGTACAAAACTATTATTGAATATATCAAAAGTTATGATACTTGTCAGTGATATAGTACACTTATACTATATGAAGAATTTTACTTTATACCTATAGAACAATCTTTTGATTATATAGGAATTGATATATTGAAATTTTGTTAATAACTTCTTAAGGTAATCAATATATTGCTATAATTATTAAATATTTTATTAAATAGCTTGAAACAAAAGCTCTCAAGGATATTAAAGCTATTATTATTATAAAATTTATATATGAAAATAATATATATTAATATAAGTGCCCCAATACTAGTCAAAAAATATTTATTTAGTATAATACCACTTGTATAATATTCATTAAAAAAATAAACAATTCAATATATTAATAATATTAATAAATCATTAATCAATTTCTACTATATAATTTGATATAAATAAATTATTGTCAATTTCTATTATATAATTTAGTATTATTTGTTATATAATTTGATATTATTTATTATGATAATGATTACTGCTATTTGTGATCAAGATCCCATCTGATTATAAAATAATCAAAGATTGCAAGATGTTTTAGTTAATTTTAATACTAAAGTCATCTCGTCATAAGACAAGTTCCAATAAGCTTCTGCAGATAGGTTGAAGATCTATATATTGTAATAAGAGGAGACTGGCAGAGCTTAGGCATATTAGTTAGAAAAGTGTCTCTATCAAAATTGACATCCGTCCAAGACTTCATATAGTTATCCTATAGGTAGGCTGTAATAAGTTATGTAAAAAGAGTTACTGGTGAAACAAGATGACATCTAAGACTTCACATGGGTATTCTGTAAACATACTATAATAAGTATTATAAAAAGAATATTCAGCAGAATGAGATATGAAAGAGGTCCTATGTTATAGTCCTGGGATTTATTGAGCATTATATATAAGGATGTAATATTAATGTAAGATTGAGCTTTGTTACTCCTAAAAAAAAATAATAATAATAGTGACATTTATATATAGCTAATTAATTAAAGAGTAATTTTATTAAGACAATATAAATTAAAATTCTTATATTATAAAGATAACTTTAAATAATGATAAATAAAATATTTAAAGTATTGTAATATAAAAATTTTTAAAAACAGTTATTAAAGTAGCATTTTGTTTTTATTATAACTTTTTTACTAAGTTTTAATATAATATTTATAAATAAAATAAAAATTTCTTTTTCTTGTATAAATTGCAAAGCAATATTTTTGATTTTGAAATAAAATTTTTTTCTTAATAAATCATATGTGAGAAATTAGAAAAAGTATTATTCATGACAATGAGATATATCCATTTGCTTTTTTTGCTTTTAATATTAAATTTGGATATGTAGTATTATACCTTACTTTTTCTTTTCAATAAATAATTTTAATTTTAAGGATTTTTATAATTATTGAATTTGATTCAAACACACAATTTCTCAAAATAGGATACATTCTTTGTTTTCCCTTTCTTTTTTCTTTTAATATTCTATTATCGCAGTTTCTCTTGCAATGATAATTCATAGCATTAGCATAATTTAGTATACACTGGTTTTGGGGGAGTTCAAAAAAAAAATTAATTAGTTACCTTTCTTCGAGTAAACTGATTTTTTTGTTTCATTTTCTTTTGAGAAAAACTTGTCTTGCAAATAGCTTGTAATATCAAAATATTCTTAATAAATTGTCAATAAGGCCTGAATATTTTGCTATGCAAGAAAAAAAAAAAAAAGTAACAATAAAATTAAATAATATTTAAACAGTTATTTTTGAAGGCGAACAACATACCGAATATGGATTTTTTTCGGTTCCTATTTAAATTTCGGGATCACAATTATAGGGTCCTGTCCGCTTTCGAAATCGCTTTTTTTTAAAGAAATTATATTTCATATATAGTAAAATAATCTTATTCATTATAAAAATTTTTATATTTTTCATTAAGCCATGGCAAAGTACGTAATTTAAATGAATATCGCTTTAAAAAGGATAAAAGAATTGGTTTATTAATATCATTACGAACATCTTGTTCAAACTTGATTACTTTTCGATTAATTCTTCAGAAATTCGGTTGAACTTTACGATAAATATTCCAATATGTACCCTCTATTATTTCCTATATATGCGCAGCTTTCAATAATATACTATTACTAAATTATTGTTATTAATTATAAATAAGTTTTTTATTTTGTAATTTTTGACGAGGAATTGATGAAAACATAAAAGAGAAAATGACAAGTAGTCATAAAAAGTCGATACATCATAAACTACCGAAAACTTTCAACTGCGTCTCCATAATCTCTAACCTCGCATGCATATTCTTTTGTAGTTCTTGAATATCTTCAATTGCAGTCGATATCTTTCTCAGCATCTGTTTCTCATTTCCCGGCACGGGCAAATCCGGCATATCCCTGATATCTTCGCCCCTCGTATCTTTATCTTTCTTTCTATTGGCTCGCGTCTCAACTATCGCAAATACAATCATCGGAATAAAAAAGATCGATGCTATTAACGTTTTCTCAAATTTTATCCACAAGAATGGATTACTGTTTCTTCTTGTGTTGATCAAGAAACAAACAGGCATGATGACGGCGTAGTAGAGGAGGTTGAAGGGTGGTGGGTAATTGTATTGACCTGGAACGCTGTTACCGGCGTCATGCACCACTATTGTGGCGAAGTGAGCTAGATATTCTTCGGGTACAGTACGTCGGGTGATGAATGATGTCATGAAAAGTGGAAGTAGGAATGCGAAAAGAATCACACTGACGGTGAAGACATAGAATGAATAGAGGAAAAATCCGAATCGGTCTCCCAGACGAAGAGATGCTTGGAAGTCCGGTGCACTATGAGAATACGTGAAAATTTCTTAATGACTAGCATAACCAAGATCGCCTTCGTGAATTATTGAAAAAAAAAAAGTTATCCCTACTTGAGCATTCCTTTGACAAGAAGTGACATAATGGACCATTCGCTTTTACTTTCGGGCACTTTATCTGACTTTCCATTGAGTACCAGAAACGACTGAAAGAACGCAAGTGACGCCAAAGCCATCAATATAAAATAAGACATGCTCTTGCGTAGAATTCTCGAAATTTCAGTCAACCATCTCCCGACAGTCTGAAATGCGTCCAGGGTAAGCATAACACGCCAGTGAAGAAACAGAGGAACCAGTGAAAGGGCTTTACGATGGGATTCCGATGTTTCGGTTGATTTCGGGTCGTAGACGCTTTTTGCTCTTAATGTAAAATCCACGATAAATATGACGTAAAGAAGCAATGATATCACTTTCCTTGTGTGAGTATAGATCTTTATTCCGTATTTGGCCAACTGAAAAACCATTATGAATGTTAAGCAAACCCTATCACTCGTATATTAATTAAGATTGTCTTTGTGAACTTACTACACATATGTCTTTCACCAGGAATCCGAGAACCAGAATGTACATGGTTCGTTCCAAAAAATCACAATACTCATGCATTCCTTCACAGTCCGCGGCGACCAAGGTGTAAACGATTAACAACGTTATCCACGCAACAACATTGAGCAAATATTGATTTCTTGGAACGTTCAATAGTTCAAATTTCAGAAAGTTTTCTAGGAAGGAAGTTCTGTGCCTTGGAATATAGAATTCTATTGGTGCCGAAATTTTCGGATGCGCGGAAACCCGAGGCATTAAATCACCTATCCACAATGCCTAAATAACACTTAGTTAGTGGCAATTGAGAGTACATCGTCCGACGCCAATGATCGCGTTGGATAAAGAAATCTCGAGGTGTATTGATTATTACATAAACACAAGCTTGAACCTCGTCGTCCGCCAAAAAGACACTGCCATGATCTCCGGGATTACTATGCAATCTGACGGCAAGCTCCAAAGCTACAAGACGTCGGTCAGTTTAGTACGAGCTTCGAACAAATCTCGGATATAAATGTATCACCATTTACCATTTCTGCGTTCTGCAATGACATCATATTGAGAAAATGCATATCGCCTTGTTAACACCTCAGTAAACATTTGATCTTGATCTTCAAATTTATGGACTCTATTTCAAGAGAATCGTTCGATTTTTTTGGGTAGTACATTGTAGCGTGCGTGCGTCAAACAATAAAAATTATTAGCTTACAATTCCCTGGCCAAAATCTCACCACACTCGATTCTCCTCTTTCTCATGCTTCTTACGGCCGGGCCACCGCCTCCATGACCATCATGAACTTTATCCACTTCTTGTAGTCCCCTTACGTAGTGGAGGGTGACGAAAACGACATTTTGATTCTTCTTGCACTTTTCAAACACATAATCCACAATTGCATCCGTTATTAACTCCTCCGGATTCTTAATTGATCCCAGTGGCGCCAAATTTTTGATCACATCACGAATAATCACAAGATTTTCGTTAATTTCCAGAAATGCATTGTGACCTTCGTCGTTTAATGGATCATGAAAGTGAATGGATTTTACGGATTCTTCTTCTTCAGTTGAAAATGGATCCGGTGGTAAGGTATAGTAAGTGTGTTCAGGATTTCGAGGAGACCCCTTGGAAGAAGGGGAGAGTAAGTTAGTCCGAGAATCGGACATCTTTATCGCACAGAAAAGTAGTCAGAGATGTTTTAAAAGGTTAAAAAATGTCTAAGGATTACGTCATTCGAATGCAAACAAGCTAACCGATTTTTGACTACGAATGTGCTATGTGTGAGGCGATGCTGGAATCGCCAAAGCCAATTACGATATATAGTAGCGCGATGAAAGTATCATTAGATTAGTATGACAAAATTTAACCGCGGAAGAATAGGTTACAAACATTCCAGCAATATACTGTTATGATATACTGTGGTTTCAAAGGTATTAACTTTTATCCAGCTACTAATATTTATTAACATCAACACAATAAGTATTCTGCTATCCTAACAGCATACAATACGATTATGCTAAGAAAATTTTAATAAACACTATTTTTGCCTATCGATGTTATGTCGAAGTGACAAACCGTCAGAACAAATTTATTGCGCTTAAATTAGGTACAAATATAAATAAGCATACGATCATTGAAACAATCAATCTCGAAATTAAAGTTGATTCGCAATCGATGGAAAATTAACGTATAGCAGTGCCATCAATGGTGGATACGGCTCTGGAGAAAGACGAATGCGTCTTTCATGGTCGGATTATGATGCAAGACTTGGTGTCGGTAATGATGATGCAAGCAAATCCATGCGCATACGTAAGTATTCTATAATTTGTGCGACTTTAAATCGATTTTTCATAATACGTATAGATAATATACAAAAGTAATTGTTTTTTTTTTTTTTACCCTTTTTCTCGATTCACACATGGAAACTCCGATAAAAAAACCTGTCGCCATCACATCATCCGAAAGAGACAATTTCGACAAACTTACCAAAGAAAATAAAGTGCTCAAGCAAAAAGTGGATGCTTTGGAAAAAGAAAACATGCTACTCAAAAAATCCATCTATGATCTATCGGTTAAGTATGCGGAGGCTGCACATAATCAAAGAGTTAGGCCACTTGTAATTGACTTCGAAGAGCAAGATGGCGGGAAAGAAATTATCGATAACTTGGATAATTCATCTGGTAGGTGAAAGGAGACTTTGACTTTGACTTTACGACAATTGGATTTCTAAATGCAATTGCGAGTATTGATTATTGCACGATGATGGTTTAATTGTTAAGATAATTTAATGATAGCAGGAAATAATTTGCGCGAAAAGAATCGCGAGGGACGAACATTTCATCCAAAATCCGAATTCAAGGTCTGAATAGATAGATCACCCACCGTGCGTCTTGATCAATTTGACATGACAAATTATTGGAATTTTCAGGGTCACAATGGTGCCGTCTACGCAATTCAATTTTCTCCATGCGGAAAAATGCTTGCTTCCGGATCGTTCGACAAAACAGTGCGAATATGGGACACAATATCCTTACAAAAAGAGGTGATATATATGTGTTCGTCGTGAAATTTCCTCATCGCATGAAAGGAACTCTCACGGAACATTTTATAAATTATAGCAAGCTTGCTTAAAAGGGCATACTCTTAATGTGTCTGATGTATGTTGGTCAAATGATTCTACCGTTTTATTATCTGGAGCATATGATCAAACATGCAAATTATGGGACATTGAAACAAATAGGTATACAAATTCGTTTGAGAGCGAAGGATTTGTTCAGTGTGTGATGTTTAATCCACAAGGTACTCTCTCTTTATCGATTCCGTCGATTTTGTTTCTTTCGGTGAAATTAAACGGATCAATATTCGTTTATCAGATAACAATATATTTGTTAACGGAACTTCGCGCAAAGTCCTTTCGGTAATCGACATACGGAAACCCGAGAACGCGTTGAATTTGAAGAGCGACGGAATGATAAATTCCCTGTATGTTTGTCGGGATGGCCAAAATGTTATCACTGGCGATTCCTTGGGTTACGTAAAGACATGGGATCTGAGAGCCGGTGAGATGCTTAGAATCCCTCTTCTCTTCTTCTCTTACTAAGTGTATTCATTAATCTCATTTCAGGATCGGCTTTCCAATCATTCCCCAACGAACCAACCAAGAAACCCATATCACATGTAGCCTTTTCGCAGAAGAGCTCCAGTGAGTTTCTTGACGATTTCAATCTACGCAGTTTGTTGTTTGATGAGTTGCGAATTATTGTTGACCCTTGATGTTACCTAGACGACGAGGAAGAGCCGCGATATATGGCCGTTAATAGCTATGATAATGGTATTTTCGTGATTACACCGTTTATCCTATTGAAATTATTTTGCATCTAAATCGATTATTCTTTATCAAGTTATAAGGGTATACTATCGTGGAATCGAACCTCTTAAGGCTCAGCCGCGATTGATCCATGTTTTGAAAGGTTACAAAAACAAGGGTTGGCCTATCAAGAGTTCGTTCTTCCTCGGAAGAGAATGTAGCGTAATTTGGGAATTATATTTGGTGAATTTTGGGTTCAATAAAAATTTGCTCAATCTCTTTTGCAATCTCTTAACGCAGATCAATATTCGGTGCTGCAAAGAACGACACCGATCAAAGATATCTTCAATGACAAAGAATTGCAAACGGATTCCGCAGACGACATCGTGTATGTTTTTTTTTCCTGGTGTTTTTCTGGTGCTGTGACCAATAAAATTCTTCAAGTCACTTAACATAATATTAATTGCTTGCCAACTATTTGTCAGTTATGAGAAAGACAAACCGTTGGAAGCCAGTCTTTTATTGGCGACGGGAAGTGCTGACCCATGCGCATATATATATAATGTCGGAGGTCCCGAAGTAACTTTTCTTTTTTTCATACTTTCTTTGCGAGTTTTTGTTGAGAAAGAAATGTTGCTGACCATATTTTCTCACGTGTTAACCAGAGTACAGGAGAATTATTGCAGCGATTGGAAGGGCACACCGATTTCGTTTATGCAGTAGACTTTCACCCCACGGAGCCTACATTAGCTACTTGTTCAGCAGATTACACGATAAGAGTATGGGCACCTAATTCTAGAGGTAAAAAAGAGAAAATAAAGAACTTCTAGTTGACTTATGTGCTTCGAAAAGTGCTATGACATCATTGGAATTCCATTTACCATTTACTATTGAAATTGTAGCCTATACATGATTGCAAAGTTATTGATTCGAATGTATATGTTATGTTAGTTACACCTTTAAATCCATCTAATCTACCGAGTGTTATTTTATTTTATTTTATTTTTTTGAGGCTCAGTGACATCTGTCAGAGGAAGACGAATTTCGTTCAAAAAAACAGCTAATCCGATGGTCGATATAATATAAAGTTTGCTGTTGACAATGAAAATGTCAAGTTCTAAATCTATTATTGTATAATAAAAATGACTCGAACAGCATTAATAACGCAGTTCCAGAATAAACCTCATTTCGCTTCTTTTTTTTTTTTTTTTTGTCAACGATAAAATTAAAAAATTACCATGAATTGAATTGCAGTATAAATAATATATACATTGCCATCCCGATAAATAGACGCGCGAAACCGGGCTACGCGTATTTTATTAAACGAGCCTATTTCATTTGTTCACAATATAGCCGCTCTGGAAAACTTGTTGAAAAATTTTGTTGAAAAAAAAAAAACCACGTACAATTAATCATTCCGGAAAGTATCATGGTTTTTTAACTTCATCTTTAATAATTCTTCGTGTCACCGAGTCCACAATCTCTCAAAAAGTTGAGATATCAAATTTTGATTACTTCTTTCGAGCAATCTTAAGTTCATTCACAGATCTCGAAAAGCTTTTATAATTCCAAACATATTTTTAATTGATCAAAAAAAAGTTTAGGGATGATAATGTTGGATTTCACATTGAGATATTTCAAGAAAAGTATTTAGATTTTGGCTTTTTTTATTAAAGCTTTGTAATCACTTGAGGAACTTAAGTAAGAGATAGAAGTTTGTAATTCATATTATCCATCACTTGATCTTTAAGAGACTTGAACTTTTAGGAACAAATGTTTTTGAAATATTCTTTTCAATCATCAATGAAATCATCAAAATATATGAATGTTGTCAATAGGAGCTTGTTTATATTCTTAAAACTAATGTGTTTCATATCAACCAATCACTTTTGATAAAAATTTGTACTATCCAAAATTTAGAATCAAATTGAGGTAAGCAAAATTCTTCAGAAAACTGTGAAAGTGAAAATTCTAAGAGGATCAAGAAGTCAAAAAGTGAAAAAATAAGCCTTTTTACTATAGAAAATCTCTATAAATCTTTTGTTTCAAAGGTTAAATAGGTTTTCAGATATTTTATAATCAGTTTTTTTTTTTTTGAAAACTTTTTTGCCATTGGTATCAAAGGTATTACTTAACTTTTCTTAATCACTAGGAGTCAAGTTTTTGAGTAAAAAGATTTGTAAATAAAAGGGAAAGGATATATATGACTCTTTAAGTCATAATTTAAGTTGTTTTAAAAAAAGTATTAAAACTTTATTAGCAAAGAAGTATAAAAACTTCTTACAAATATTTTTTATATATATGGTTAAAGGATTAGGGAAAAGAATTTTTTTGATAGAAGAAAATTTACTATTTATTTTTTTATATACTGTTTCTTATATTTTTAGAATATCTATTGATTTTTTTGAGAAATTTTATTTATTTTAACTTGATTTTAAATTTTTGATAGTATAATATTATCTAATATCTAATTGGTTGATATAAAATATATTGGTAACAAATATAAACAAGCTCTCATTAACTATATTTATATATTTTAATAATATTATTGATAAAAAAAAGAGAAATCAGAAATAAACTTTTTCCACTGATCCTCTGATTATACACAAAAAAAATGTTTGCAAGAAGTTTTATACTTCTTTGCTAATAAAGTCTTTACACTTTCATTAAAACAACTTGAAACTTGTTTTCATGTATCTCTCCTACCCTCCTTTATTTGTTTATAAATTTCTTTGAATAAAAACTTGAGCCTCTAGTGACCTGAAAAGACTCAAATACACACTTCCTCTATTAAGGGTAAGAAAGTTCTAGGAAGTAAAAGGACTGACAAGTAAAATATTACCTTACAAAGCTGGAAGCAATAAAATATAGAGATTCTGTTAACAGGGAAAGACTTATTTTCCACTTTCTCACATACTGTCTTATACCCTCTTAAAGTGTTTATTATTTTTCATGGTTTTCTTGAGGAATTTTGCCTACCTCAATTTGACACTGAATTTTTAATAGCATAATATCACCTGGCATTTGATTGGTTGACACAAAACATATTAGTAGCTGAATGTAAACAAGCTCCTATTGGTCACCTTATGTGTTCTGATAATGTAATTGGTAATTGAAAGAGAAATCAAGAATACAAACTTCTCTATTTCTCCAAATGAAGCTTAACTGAAGCAAAGAAATCATGAGGCCATTAGGATGGACACTAAATTTTCTAGTTGATGAAAAGGTGATTATTTGTTCAAGCCGAGACCTTCAACTTCTTATCATCCCGGTCAGGCAAAATACACGAAGAAGATTATTTCCTTATCCCAATCAGGCTGTAAGACCGAAAAGTAGAGAAATGTAAAACAATACCCTTCTTCTTTGATTGCTACATAAGTTATCACATCTCTGTTTTAAGGCTCTTTTAATAGTATTTCTTGTTTTTT